TGTCCCTGTCACTTAACATGGTGGATACTCCGAAAGGGTTTGATAATTTCACAAAACTCATTTCTACCATGTAGGAGTTGATCTGGACTAAAGGAACTGCTCATCAGAGCAGAGCTTAGAAGCTAACACTCAGCTGACTATTTTTGATTTACTTTCAATTATGCTCACATTTCATAATCAACACATTAGATCATGTATTAAATTACATCAGTACAGCCTAAAAGTTTAATCACTACCAAAAGCAGTCCAGAGACTGTTAACATGAAATCCATGTAGACGTTGGGAATTCACAAATAAGCTTGCCAAGAATCTAAATTAGTTATTAAAAATAATGACAATAATAAATACATATATATTTAATTTTCCTAGGAAGGTCAGAATAGAACAGCAACCAAAAGCACTATGAACCAGTGTTTCTGATTAAACTTTTACTACACAATCTTATGTTTCCAAAGGTGATTTTAATTACAATATAACACATCCATCTTCATCTTACACTTTTCATGCCTTACTTTTTATAATGAGAAAAAAATTATCAAAGATCTTCACGTATTACAAAACAGGTCAGTTTTCTAAATTTCTCACTAAAAAGATACCTCATGTACTAGAATGAGCAGCTTTTAAAGAGTGTTAAGAAAAATATGTCTCCTTTAAAATCAGTTATTAGTAAACATAGAGAACTCAAGATTCAATGCAAAACCAGGCATTTAAGAATCTGAAAACAAATCCTCACCAAATATGAAGTAAATCTTGGGAAAGACTGGTGAAATGGAATTCTAAATCCAGCAGGTGGACATAATCAACTCCTCGAGTAAATTAGCTACTATTTCCTGAGACTGCATGCTAGTTTTCATGATTAACTTCAAAGAGAATGTCACCATATCAATGTAACACATAAAACTGACACAGATTTAACAGATCTCATGTATGTGTTCCCAAAATAATTGATTCTTCTTTATGACACGATAAGGGAGGAGCTCTCACTTTATAGATTTTTTAGGTAACTTTAAATCTGAATGACTTTAACCTTTACATACTCAGTCACTTGGAGACTTAGTTTTGACCAGAAAAGACAAAGTTTAAAATTTCTAACTGAAAACAGAACTGTCAAGACTCACTCAAATAAAATGTCATACTCATTCCTTATGTTACAGGACTGTTTCTATTCTAGCACAATTTGGGAAACAATCTACAAGTTACCAATAAGCAATTAAAGTCTAACCAAAAGAAAAAGATATACTGTTGGTCAGAATTGAGGCTAGAAGGTGATAGACTCAAAGTATTTGTGTGAGGAGGAAAAGTCTAACATATATGCACTGAGCTGCTCTAGTCTTTCAGGAAGGATGCACAACAAAAACAGAGATTGGTTAGCCTGGCACAATGGCGCACCTGCAATCCCAGCATTCAGGAGGCTGAGGCAGGAGGAGCACAAGGTCAGCCTGGGCTATATATACAGCAAGACTCTGTCTCAAAAATTAAATAAATTTAAATTTAAATTTAAAAAATAGTGGTTATCTGAGGAGGCAATGCTGAAAGACAGTTGAGGGAGTCTTTGCTTTCTGTGCACCCTAAGGCATGGCCAACCTTTTTGGCTTGCTTGAACAGCACTGGGTGAAGAAAAATTATCTTGGGCTACATACAAAACAAATACTGTAATTCACATAGGTAAACAACAAAACTTCTTGTATTGTTTATATTTGTTATTACGTTTTTTAAAAAAGGGCAAGCAGCCCACCAGCCACTGTTGGACATGCCTGTGAATCATTCAACATGTTGCCACTATAAAGGTCCTACTCAACAATACGAGAGATTGGCATGTTTTTTGTCTGTTTGTGTTTTTTGAGACAGGCTCTCACTATGTAGTTGAGGCTGACCTGGAACTCACTATGTAGCCCAGGCTGGTCTCGAACTCACAGTGATGCTCCTGCCTCAGCTTCCTGAGTGCTGGGATTACAGGCCTGCGACACCACACCTGGCAGCATGTTTTGTTTTTTAATAAACTTATGGGTGGAATAAGACTTGGAGGTGAGGGATTACCTGGGAATTAAACTAAGGGTGTTCACAAGGAGATACATTCCCAGTTCTTTTTTGCCTGAGTCTCACGAAGTCGCCCAGGGTGAGCCCAAACTTGTCATACTCCTGCTTCAGCCTCCCAGAATGTTGCAATTTACAAGCATGCATCACTGCATCCAAGTCAATATGAGGATTTAGCTCAGACAGAACCTACAGCCCTGTTAAATTAAGACACAGAATAACAACTCTCCTAGAACAGTTTTTCTGAAGATAAGGCTTAGTCAGACAATATTTCAGTGCCCACCACGTGCCAAGAATTATTCCAGGCAATAACAAGCAATGCCCAGGTCACTCATCTCTGAGCAGTGTGGTGTTACATAAAAGGAAGGGAAACAGGAATAAAAGAAGCAGGTTTATACAGAACAGTTAAGGCAGACCTGAAGAAACACATGAGCAAGGAATGCTACAAAGACAAAGTGTGCAATGCAACAAACGAGAGTGAAGCCTTGTGACAGGAGTAAGCATTGCTACTTCCTGTTGAGGGCACAACAAAGCAACAGGGGTGCAGGCGATGAGCTCAGAGAAGCAAGTGAGAGTTCTGTGGTATAGAGAACCTCTGCAAAGGTTTTAGCAGGGAAGTAGCACCATCTGTATTTTTAAAAAATAACACTGGCTCGACACAGCACTCAAGAGGCTGAGGCAGGACTGCCACAAATTAAGGCCAGCCTGAGCTACACAGTGAGACCATGTCTTTAAAAAAACATTTTTAAAAAAGGCTAATACCGTGGAGCATGCTAGCTGGAAGGCTGAAGCAGGAGGATTGTAAGTCTGAGGCCAGCCTAAGTCACTTAGTGAGACACTGTCTGAAAATAAAAAGGGCCTGGATGGAGCTCAGTAATCGTACCCCTAGGTTCAATCTCTGATGCCCACACCACCCAAAAGAAGGTACAGTAGGCAAACACAGAAGGCTAAGCAATAGGGCCGGGGATTTAGCTCAGTGGTTCCACCACCTGCCTTGCAAGCACAAGGACCCAAGTTCGATCCCCAGTACCAAAAAAAAAAAAAAGAAAGCCAAGCAATAAATTTTGAAAGTAGATACTTCAGAATTGGCCACTGGATTAGTCATAGGAATGAGTGAGACAGCAAATGAGTGAACTCAAAAAGGACACCTTCTATGTATTGTCAAGGTACTCATACATACCTCGTGTCATTTCACCATAACAAGACACAGGAGAGTCACACTGGTCAAGATCCAAGTTCTGCCTCTTGCCAGTTTAAGACCTTTAGGAAAGTCATTTGAATCGGTTACTAGACTATAAAACATACTGCCTAGTTCACAGAAAAGAATTTTTGGTCAAAATTTCTGCATGGGTCAAATGGCTGAAGAAATCTGAAAATGTAAATGAGGACCATTATGACATAAAGAGTATCATATTAATACTTGTCCAAATCAATGTATCTCATACTTCCATTCACCAAGAATAGTTTTGTTTTGGTACCGGGGACCGAACTTGGGTCCTAGTGCTTGCGAGGCAGACAGCAGAACCACTGAGCTAAATCCCTGGCTTCACCAAGAATAGTAATACTGATATATAATCGATACTGAACAGTCACCAATAAATAACCCAATAAAACAAGGTATGTTTCTACTACTTTAAGACAGTACAGCTACCCTCCACCCACCACTATATTCCACATAGAACCTTGTACAGTGGCTGGTAGAGCAGTAACTTTTAAAAATAAATTCTATTTTTAAAAAAATAAGCTGGCCATGGTGGTACTCTTCTGGGAGGCTGGACAAAAGGACCAAAAGTTCAAGCCCAGACTGGCAAATAGGAAACTTAACAAGGTCCTGTCTGAAAGAAAGAAAGGAAGGAAGGAAGGAAGGAAGGAAGGAAGGAAGGAAGGGCAGGCAGGCAGAAAGAGAGGGAGGGAGGGACTGGGGATGTAATTCACTGTTGAATACCTAATTCCCAGTACTGCCCCCCAAAACAAGTATTTTCATCTAAGCACATGGCTCAGTTTAGTGCACTTGCCTGGCATACATGAGGTCCTGAGTTCAAATCCCAGCAATACCAAAAAAAAAAAAAAGTACTTTCACTAATTATAAAACAGCCTACATACTACAAGTATGGACACTAAAAAATTTACAATCTTTTAATCCTTCCTAGGGACTGGAGAAAAGAGCCCTTTACAACTATAAAGTACATTAAACTAAAGTCACCAAATTTTAACTTTTACCTAATAAAATCAAGGTACTTTTTTTAGAGATGCCACCAACAAAATAAAGACTAAATTAAAATTATATTGCAGCATAAGTTAATCACTGTCTTAAAACAGTTAAATTAAATGTTTACTATAAATTTAACTGTGTGCTAAGGTAATTATGTGGACTTCTATTTATTGTGGTAAATCACTTCTGTAAATTTATAAAAAGGTTTCACAGAATTTATTTTACCATCCAAGGCTTTCCTATTACGGCAGAACATCTTCCAAATCTAACAAAAATGGAAAAATACCTGTTTAGCTCACTGTATTTTAGAGAAGTATCTTCATTGTCAACTTGCTATGTACTTAGTCTATAACCCAGGTAACAATAATAAACTACACAATATTTGGGGCGCAGCTCTCATTTTCCCACTGGGCCCTCAATCAACACAATCACTGGTGACCATGGGACTGCATCATAACTAAAGCTACATTGTAAGGACCTTCCTACGTGTAGGACAACAGTTAAACCTCGCACAGAGTCTGAGAGAAATACATAAAACAACGAAGGTTCAAATTATTAGTGTCTAGTGATCACTATCTGTTCTTTCATTTCTAATTTCTACCTTATAACGGGTTAAATACCTTTCAGTCAGTAACCACCCACCCGCAATCTCAGCTAAATTTGTGACTGCATGAAGCACTACACATCTTATGCATCTCTCTAAAAATGTTAGAAAAATGAAGATTAAATACACGTTCTCCAGGCTATATCGCACCAGATGTTGCTGCAATTTAGTCACTTGAACCGGGATCCTCAGCAATGCAGTTCAATTAATTTCTTTCATAAAACCTGACCAAAAAAATAAATTCAAGACTTAGTTTTCGTGGATTGCAAAAAAGACAGCAAGTCTGAGGACTCGGCGATATTATGTAAAGACTTTCTATAAGACCAAGATAAGGAATTTTCATGGCTCCAGGTGTACTTCTCAGAGCATAAGGCCAAAGGAAGGTTTAATAGTTAAAGCGCACGAAATCGGGAGGTCAAAGATGCTACAACACCCCTCATCACTGCGGCCCTCTCGAAACCTTCTGTTAAAAACTATTTCCTCGGAACAGAAACGGCTCGGGCAAGAGTTTGCCAACCGGAGTGAAATCACTTCGCAGCGATAATGAGCGGAAATGCATTGAGAGGAGAGGAGATCGCGGAAGCGAGGGCAGCGGGGCGCGGGGCCCCCAAGTCTCGGAGCTGGCATTCAGGACGACCTGTGCCCACCGCTGCGGGACGCGCGG